CTCTTGCTTTAGACCTTGGTGTGCATGGGCCTAAGCTACCTTTCTTTGCCTCCAGCACCTCTTTCAGGCCTAGTCACTCCATGCTCTGGGTATAGACAGGCCTGGCAGTGTGTGTGGAGGGGAAGGTGGGATGCTTCTGCTTATCTGAGAGTCACTGGGGATTGTCGGTGTTTTCCAGCCATCCCCTGATGGAGTGACCGCCACATAGCACATTCTACTAGCAGGCGCATCTCGCAGGGGTCTCAATCTCTACAAGTGCGGTATCTGGAACCTTACCATCCCTCCTAACTTCCGATTCTACTTGAATTGGTAGAGAAGGCAGTAGGGTGGCCTCAGCTATTGGTATCTTCTTACATGTAAGATACAGGACGCTGCATTTTCTATTTTTGTTTCCAGATTTGGACCCTGTTATCAACCCTATCGAGCTTGTTTTCAATGCACACATAAAATTTACAACGGCATTTGAAACTGTTGCTAGAAAATTTTCCTACCATTATTTTTAAATTGCAATGCAATTCTTAGCCAAACAAAACATATTTTGCCTCATCTGCATAGTAGACATATAATAATAAGCTAAAAGTCTAATGGATTAAAAAAAAGCCTAGTGTTCTAAAAAAAAAAAAAAAGCAAGTAAAATGGCACAAACAGAACCCTTTCTTGCTCTGAAAGACAGTAATGGTTGTTTTTGCTCATTCACGTCGTAAATGTCTCTCCGTTCTGTTTTCAGTGCCATAGACCAGCAAACTTGACTCTGGGCAAAACCCAGCCGTCCACCTGGTTCTGTGAGGAAAGTTTTGTTGGAGCACAGCTGCACTCATTTATGCACTGCCTTAACTTGTTTTGTCCCAGCAGCTGCCTTGAGCAGTTGTAACAGAGCCCATTTGGCTTGCAAAGCCATACGTATTTACTATGTCACCATTTACAAAGAAAGAGTGCCAAGTCCTGTTTTTATGTACTTCCTCCAGAATTCTTTCTAAAACAAATAAGATACGGGGTTCATCTGCTTGGCAACACTAAGTCATCTCTTACTGTTGGTAACATAAACCCTGAAGCCTTTGGTTTTAATTCTCATTGCAATCAATCTCAAACCACTTTATTAATACAAAATTCTCTATTTCCTTACCTTTTCATGGTTAAAACACAAAGGCCAGTTTTAAAAGTAAGGCTCCTGGATTTATTTTGTTGAGCCCAAATAGTGGTTTAGTTTTACTGAAATTAGTGTTTTAAAGCTAGAAGCTGTCACATGGAAGTCCAGTTTGCCACTTGTTGACAAATGAGGACTTGAAATGGCACTGGTCCTGCAGCCAGTGTACTAAGAGCTAGTCTACATTTTAGAATAGCAGCCTTCCACCTCTTCGTGAACATCAGCATGCACACCCCTTCTCCTCAGTGATGCTGTTCTCTGATCTTGTCACCTGACCCACCTCCTCTTTGTTCCTAGAGCATCCCTTCTGTTGTCGCAAACTCTTCATCCTTTAAGAGTCCGGTTTGTTGTAAAGTGTGTCAGTCACCTGTTCCTCTCTGCCCTCCTGGCACTTACTCATCTAATTAGAGAGGCTCATGTGACTAGACTGCAAGTCCCTGTACAGTCACTTTCCTCTTGTCTTACAGCAGACTCATCTGCTTCTCACACCACTCGCATGTCATAACTGTTGGGATCACCAGCCACTGAGTGGTGGGAGTGGAGGGCGTTTTCCTCTGTACTCACCTGCCATATAGGCTTAGACACGTGTCTTTAGGGCTACTTCTCACATGCCTGTGCTTTTGGCGTTTGCTTTTACTTTATTTTTGAAACAGGGCCCCACTATGTAGTCTAGGATGGTCTAGAGTTTGCTGTGTAGAACAAGCTGGCCTCAAATTAATGATCCTGTTGCCTCAGCCTCCCTAGTGTGGGATTACATAATGAGCCTCCAGTCCTGACTTGTGCATGCCTTTGAATAAAATGGTTTTGTTTTTCTGCTTCTCGGCTTTTAATATTAAGTGAGGGATAATAATATCTGTTTTATAGAGTTCTTAGAAAAATGAATGAATCCGTGTAGATGCTTAAATGCTTAACCAAAAGTAAGATCCCTTTAAATGGGGTTATGTGATCAATTCTTGTTCTTACAACTTTACTTTCTGTTCTGCAGAGACGTGTAGTTAACCTTTCCCTCCGTTTACACCATTATGGGTCATGGGAAGTAAATGCTCTCTGTTAAACCACACTTGATTTAATTCTAGAATATTACATTTGGAGGGGGTTTTGGAGGTCAGATGGATAAAAAGTGCTTACCCAAGGTGACAGACTTCTGCAGATCCCAGTTACAGGTCACCAGTCTCCTGAATAGAGAATCACCTAAAGATTATAGAATGTTATCAGAACTGTATTAGAAACTATTGTCACAAAAGCTGGCCACTCTAAAAATATCTATTTCTACATTATATGTGGGTGGGTTTTTTGTTTTGGTTTTGGTTTGCCTGTGTGTACGTCTCTATATAACATAAATGCAATGCTCCTAGAAGCCTGAAGGGCATCAGATCCCCTGGAACTGGAGTTATAGGTGGGTAGAAGCTTCCTATGGGAGCTGAGAACTGGAGCTGGGTCCTGTGGATGAGCACCTGGTGCTTTCACTGCTGAGTGACTTTTAAGTCAACGTGTAATCAAACTTGAGATTTCCCTTTTTTTTAAGGTGCAATAAAAATCTATAAATGATATTACTTTTATTTATACATTATGTTTATGTGTGCATACACAAACATGCCATAGTATACTCGTGGAGGTCACAGACATGCCATAGTATACTCGTGGAGGTCACAGACATGCCATAGTATACTCTTGGAGGTCACAAACATGCCATAGTATACTCGTGGAGGTCACAGACATGCCATAGTATACTCGTGGAGGTCCCAGACATGCCATAGTATACTCGTGGAGGTCACAGACATGCCATAGTATACTCGTGGAGGTCACAGACATGCCATAGTATACTCTTGGAGGTCACAGACATGCCATAGTATACTCGTGGAGGTCACAGACATGCCATAGTATACTCGTGGAGGTCACAGAACAGTCTGTAGAAGTCAAGTCTCTTGTTCCACCATGTGCAAGAAGTTCAGTTCCTGAGGACTGAACTCAGGTTATCAGATTTGGGAGTTAAGTATCTACCTGCTAAGCCTTCTCACTGACCCTAATTTATAATATACATGGAGAGAGGGGGTAGGGGGAGGAGATAAAATAATCTGACAATAAATGATTGTAATTCTTTCAAATGGGAAATTAAATTAATTTTAAAATTATACCATCTTTTGCTGTAGAATTTTCATACTCCTCACTTTAATGGTTATATCATGAAATGATTAGACAACTGTACAAAAACGCTACTCAATATTTGTTGATCAGAAATCCATCAGGATACATTAGGGAACTTTTCAGTTTGACATATTATTGTTCCCATTTTTACAGGATTTAGGGTATCTAATACATTATACTATAGCTACTCGATCAATCTGTAATCATTAAAAAATAAGTTGACCTCTAAGGTGTTTCATAGAGATAAAATGTCTTTAAACTTAATGATATACATAAATCATTTTATCAGGTATGATACTGTACACTGACTTAAAGGTGTTTTGTGTAAAACTGTAATTCTGGAAATCTACCTATTATTTTCTTATAAAGATATATACTATTTATGTATTTTTGGCTTGTGGCAGTTAATTTTTTGTCTGTGATAATTTTTAGCCCCGAGACTTTGCTTTATATGCTAAAATTTTAAAAGACTAAAAACTGAACCAGCAAAATGGGGTGTCAGAATTTCTATTTTCTAGTCATCTACCTCAAAAACTAGCAATAGACAAGCCCTCTCTGAGAGTGTTTCCTATAGAGCAGTGTAAATGTCATAGCTTTGAATAACAATCTGTCTTTGGTTTGCTCATATTACACTTAAAATACCAGAAGCTTGCTGTTTCAGAAGTGTGCATGATTTAAAGTTAATTTATATCTGTTTTGCTTTTTTAACTTTTAGTCTCTGCAAAAGTAGAAATAATTTTTGCCACTGTAATCCATAGTTCCACAAAATATTCAGGCAAACTTAGTACAAGTCGCTCTCACACTGGCCCAGAAGTGCTGTTTCTTCAGGAGTCTTTCTTCTCCACCTTTCTTAAGTCAGAAATTCCTGAAGACCCTGAAAAGCAGAGGTTTTGTTTTTGTGTGCTCATAGACATTTTTCTTGAGCAAGTTTTTATGACCTGAAAAGTTGAAGACATGTTCTTGAGTATACTGATATGAAATATAGCATATACTTCTTTTTTTTGTTTTGTTTTTGTTTTTTCGAGACAGGGTTTCTCTGTGTAGCTCTGGCTGTCCTGGAACTTACTCTGTAGACCAGACTGGCCTCAAACTCAGAAATCCGCCTGCCTCTGCCTCCCGAGTGCTGGGATTAAAGGTGTGCGCCACCACCCGGCTAGCATATACTCCTTAAGCCTGGTGTCATATGCCTAACTCTGGCACTGAGAAGACAGACAGGAGGACACCTGGAGCCCACTGGCCAGCCAGCCTAGCCAAACCGGTGAGCTTCAGGTTCATCAAGAGATCACGTCTCAGAAAGTAAGGTGGAGCACAATAAAGGGAGCCATCCAACATTGACCGCTGGCTTCTACCCACACATGTGGACAGATGCACTAAGTCCACCCAGCGTGTGCTCCTCAGTTGGAGAGGATGTTCCTGGTCTGGGGATGAATGCTTGGTGTGTCAGGATGTGCTTTTGGGAAATAACTTGGAAACTGCAGGTCCTCAAATAGAAAAACTTAAAAACAGTCCACTCTGCTATATTCTATAAACTAACTCTGGACACGGGTATATAAATATGTATACGTTCTTCTAGGAGGATTATAGAGTTCCTGGTGTTTGCTTTTATAGCAGAGTGTTTTTAATAGGTCATTGCATCAGGTAAACACATTAAACATAACACCTAGAGCACACACTAATGCAGTTACCAAATTGTGATATCTGTTTCTTTCAGTTGGATATGCCAAGTGACCAGATAGCTGCCAATCTGCAGGCGGTCATAAACGAGGTCTGTAGGCACAGACCACTGAATCTGGGTGAGTAGGTTGGTGAGGAGAGATGTCTCTAAACCCCAGTGATACTTCAAAACTATGAAATACTGAGACAAAGAGTTAACGTACAAGTTTTCTAGCCGCAGTTCTTCCAGGGATTAAATAATTAAATTAAAATGTATTTTTTCCAAAGGATTCTTAATTACCTTATTCATGAATCATAAGGTTTTAGAGCAGAACGTTTTTATTACTAACAAAGAATATACCCCCAAACCTTTGTACATTTGCATATTTCTACTTTTAAATGTATTAAGGTTTAAAAGAAAACTAATTGCTTTAAAGTTACAGTGGTGCAAAATAAGAAAGAAAGCTGTTTATTAAATGGTAGTTTGAGGCCAGATGGGCTTCTTAATCATTATTTTAAAACAGAAAGGAGGTATTTTTTTGTCATAGGAGGAGAGTTATCACTTGTAATTGGCTGATTCTCTTGCCATGGGGAGAAGTACACGGGTACTGCAGTAGCTAGAACACAAGCTACTTCCATGCCTTTAGTATGCCTGTGTTCCTCACACAAACCGCAACTGTGGCTGCCTGGCACAAGCTGGTCAGGTTCTACTGACTGCCCATATAGTACAGTGCTGGGAGTGTAAGGATTTAGTTAGGAATCGAGATAGTTAAAGCACATGTTTGAACTACTTTTGCCATGTCTTAGGGTTTCATTGCTGTGAAAAAACCATGGCCAAGGCAACTATTTTTTTAATGTATTGTATGAAATTCTTTTAGAATTCTTTCCTTTTTATTTATTTGGTTTTCTTTATTATTATTATTATTATTTTACTCATTCACTTTATATACCACTCACTGGCCCCCTTCTGGTCACACCCTTCCACAATCCTTCCTCCCATTCCTCTCCCCTTCTCCTCTGAGTGGGTGGAGGACCCCTGAGTATACCTCCGACCCACCCAAATCTCTGTGAGGCTAGGTGCATCCTCTCCCACTAAGGCCAGACCAATGGCTCAGGCTCTTAAGATCAACAGTTGATAAATGGGACCCCATGAAACTGCAAAGCTTCTGTAAGGCAAAGGACACTGTCAATTGGACAAAATGGTGACGTACAGATTAGAAAAGGATCTTTACCAACCTTACATCTGATAGAGGACTAATATCCAAAATGTATAAAGAACTCAAGAAGTTAGACACAAACAACCCAAATAACCCAATTAAAAAATGGGGCACAATGGTGACAGGAGCCTGATATAGCTGTCTCCTTAGAGGTTTGCCAGACCCTGACATATACAGAGGCAGATGCTCACAGCTAACCATTGAACTGACCAAGGGGTTCCCAATGGAGGAGTTAGAGAGAAGACTGAAGGAGCTGAAAGGGTTTGCGGTCCCATGAGGAGAGCAATAATACCAACCAACCAGAGTTTCCAGAGTCTAAACCACCAGCCTGGGAGCACATAGGGAGGGACCCATGGCTCCAGCTGTGTATGTAGGGGAGTATGGCCTTGTTGGGCATAGGTGGGAGAGGAAGTCCTTGGTCCCATGAAGGCTGGATGTTGAGTGTGGGAGAATTCGAGGGTGGGGAGGTAGGAGTGGGGGGGATAGGTGGGGGCACATCCTCATAGAAGCAGGAGGAAGGGGGATGGGATAGGGGGTTCCTGGGTGGGGGGTGGGGAGGAATGGGGTAAAGGGATAACATCTGAAATGTAAATAAAATATCCAATAAAAAAAGAAAGAAAAAAAATGGGGCACAGAGCTAAAGGCAAACATTTAATTGGGGCTATCTTACAGTTTCAGAAGTTCAGTCCATTATCATTATGGTTAAGTAATATGGCAGTATCCAGGCAGACATAGTACTAGAAGAGCTGAGAGTTCTACATCTTGATCTGAAGGTAGCCATGATAAGGCTTTCTTCCACACTGGGTGGAGTTTGAGCATAGAACCTTAAAGCCTACCCCCACAGTGATGAATTGTCTCCAACAAGGCCACACCTCCAAATAGTGCTGCTTCCCATGGCCAAGCATATTCAAACCACCACAGCCATCCTGGAGAAGTAAGCATATTGGTGATTGAATATCCTATTTTTAATTCTTTTCATCCAAAACACCACCACAGACATTGAGTATATACAGATTCTTTTATTCCACAGGGAACTTTGCCCTTCTGTGATAGCTAGAGAAGAATAATGGACAATAAATTCTCTAAAAATTATTTTTCTCTTTCTGCCATTTTAGATGAAGCCCCTTAACTGTTATTAGGAATAGTCTTTTAATTTGTGGAGAATTTTATCAACTGTTTGGTAACTCAGTGTTACTGTCTATGCTGACTGCTTTAGAGAAATATTTAGAATATTTCCATCTGATATACATTACCACCTACTCCTTTTAATGTTGACTTCATAGTAAATAAATTCTAGGTGATCATCTTCTGGAGAAATGAGTCACTAGTGAGTGTGCGTCTCCAGGACCGCTGTCTAGGGCAGTGAGCTGTCCAGGACAGCAGTGTTGGAGTGTGCCAGCTTTCCTATGCCTGTGTGTCTGACCCACAGGGCTCTGTGTGAGAAAGTCACAGGTGGCTCTGATCTTTGTTCTAGGTCCGTTTGTGGTACGTGCCTTCCTTCGTAGTTCAACCAGTGAAGGTTTGCTACTGAAGATTGACTCACTGTTACCCAGAGAAGCTAAAACTGAAGAAGCTGAAACTGAAGAAGCTGAAACGGAAGAAGCTGAAACGGAAGAAGCTGAAACCACAGAAGCTGCCTAGAAGTGTTATATTGTGAAATTATTAGGGGGATGTGTATGTCAAGAAACAACAGAGATATCTACAAAACTATAATTTCTCGTTTGGCTCCTCGTGTTTTTTTTTTCTTAATCAGTGCATTTAGAAGTAAATTTTAACACAATTTTTTTTTTTACAGTTTCAAAAATAAGGAAAAAAATGTCAGTTTCTAAAAATCCTATTACATTTCCTTCTTAAATTTTTTTTATTGTTGTTTATGTTTTTCTGGTCTTGGATCCTGTCACATTTTCTTTTTTTCTCCTCTCATCCCCTCTTTATTTTATTTATTTTACTATTTTTCCCTTTATTCACTTTACATCCTGATCACAGCCCTCCCTTCCTCCCCTCCTTCATGTCCCACCCTCACACTCCTCCATTGCCCCCTCCCCTTTTCTTCCAAGAAGGGGAGGCCTCCCCATGGGTACCAAACCTGCCCTGGCAAATCAAGTCAAAAGAGGACTGGGTGCATCCTCTCCAACTGAGGCCAGATTAAAGAAGGCAGCCCAGTTATGTGAAGGGGATCCAAAAGGAGGCATAAGAGTAAGCCCCTGCTCCACTTGTTTGTTAGGGGATCCATGTGGAGACCACACTGCACGTCTGCTACAAATGAGTAGCCAGCCCATGCATGTTCTTTATTTGGTGGTTCAGTCTCTGAGCCCCCATGGATGCAGGTTAGTTGATTCTGTTGCTCTTGCATCCTTGACCCCTCCAGCACCCTCAATCCCTCCTTAGCATCAGTGTTCTGTATTTTGGTAGAATCCAGGTCTAGAAGCAGATTCCAGTTTTGTAACATTCCTTCAGGAGACATGTCCATATGAAGTAATAGCAGCATCTTCATTCCCACCAGGCGGTAGCACCAGCCAGGCTGTTTGCTTCTGTGTGTGGTACTGGGGTTGGGGGGGGGGCATGTGGAAAGTTAGGTGTTTTCCTCAGTTGCTCTCCACTTTGAATTTTGGACACTGAATGTAGGGTTCCTCAGTTTGGCTAGACCCGTCCATCCCCAGCTTCCAAGTCCTCAATATTTCAGTGGCCGGGGAAGCTCAAGTAACCAGGAACAACTTATACACTCACAAAGTGTTCCCCCCCCACACTGGAAAATTGAAGCATAGACATAATGTACTAAATACAGCAGCATCAGGACCAGGCACCAGCAGTGGTTGAGTATGTTACGTCTCCCATTTCACCCTCAGAGCTAGTCAGTGTGGAAATCAGCTTCCATGTAAAAGGAGTTAAACTTTGTGGTCCAATAAGTGGCAAGCAACCTCAGTCTGCTGAACTGGAGATCTTCCTGGCTCAGTCTCCAAGTGGCCAGACCTAGGGGTGTGACATACACCCAGCCTCTGGGCTGTCTTAGACACTGTTTTAACCATCCTGCTAAGTCACTGCCTTTTCATGTGTTCTAAGATAAACCAAACAACCACTGTAGTCTCAATTTTTTAAAGCATTGAATGCAGTACTGGTTCTCTGGCACTGCTGATGTGAAAGCTAAAAGAAAGATGGAATGGGTTGTGGGAAAGTGCATGGTGGAGAAGGCATTTCCCACACTTGCCAGACTCTGGAACTAGATTCATCAGTATTTGAAATCTCGATTTACAAGGAGGACAGGAGTATGGCTTTTTGTTTGTTTTGATTTGATTTGTTTTTAAAATCATGTGTCTGTGTTTGGGTCTGGGGCAGAGGTCAACACTGGATGTCTTCCTCAGTAGCTCTCTACTTTAGCTTTTGAGACAGGGTCTCAACCTGGGGTTTATGGACCCATCAAACTGTCTGGCCAGCAAGCCCCAGGACCTCCGTCTCCACCTTCTCTGTGGGTGCTGTGGATGAAGACTGACCTCATGCTTCTGCAACAGTTGCTCTACTATCTGAGCCATCTCCCAGTCCACTTTTAAATTTTTATTTATGCTTAGGATTGGATGCAACGCCATGTGCATGCTAGGCAAGGGACCTATCTACTTGAGCCCTAAGCTATTGTTTTATTTGTCAGTTTTTCTCCTGATTAATGGAGTGTTAACTTTAGAATAGAAACATTTAGAACACTGATAAACACTGATTCTCAGACATAATCAGAAAAAATTGTTTAGTGGGTATTCCTTTGACATTTTTAGTTGAAAGAGATGGGGGAACCACACACACATGCATACATGCTGGTGGGTTTTGTTTTGTTTTTAGGATTTACTTTACGTTTATTAGTAATTCAGCCTACCTATATGTAAATACACCATATTCCTGTAATGGTCAGAGGTGAGCTTCTGATTTCCTAGAACTGGAGTTACAGATGGTTAAGGGCCACCATTTGGGTGCTAGGGACTGAACCCGAGTCATTTACAAGAGCTCTTAATGGCTAAGCCATCTCTAACCCTGCAAGCATGCTGTTTGAATGTATTCATTTCTTTTATTCAAACCTCACGGAAAATGAGTAATATTTCATCACTTTATTGCAGCATTCCTTCAATTGCTGAGCATTTAAATTGTTACAAGACCCCCCCCCCACTGATTTAAGTAAGGATTTAAAGTTTTATAGTAAATGCTGATGAATCCCAAATATTGGTTTGCATAGAACAAATCGCTGGTCTTCACCTAGTAATAGAAGATGGATCTTGAAATTCTACATTTTTATCAGGTAGTAGGACTTTGGGGACATTAGTGGATACTAATGCTGTCACCCCTGATTATAATAAAAAAAGAATTCTGGTTTTCAGACCAACATCAGTTTATTGTACAATTCTACAAGTGATCTAAGTAGCAGATTGAAAGCACTGTTGTATTTCACTACCCAATTTATAAAAGATTGAGAAATTTGTAATATTTTAAATAAAACAAGTTACAAATATTAATTTGTAATTTTAACATATAACTACAAATATTAAATATTTTAAATAATAAAAATCTTAAATATTTTAAAAGTTATCTTTATATGTGTATGAGTATTTTGTATGTATACCATGTATGAGCCTGTCAGAAGAGGGTGTTGAAGCCCCTGGAATTGGAGTTACAGATAGTTATGAGCCATCCCATGGGTGGTGGGAATTGAACCTGGGTCCTCTGCAAGAACAACAAGTGCTCCTAATTCCAGCTCCATCTCTCCAGCTCCAACATTTTGTCCCTGAACCTAGGTCTGGGACAAGTTTCTGCTTTTTGGTCTATCCCTGTCTATAATTAATTTAAACCTGTGCTATCCCTGTGGAAAGCAAGTAAGACAAACAAGAACATGACAAGATGACTACTTTATGAAAAGCCTTTTACAACATGCCTCTCGGCAAGTTGCATGTATTTGGAGGTGATGTAATATAACATTAATTAGCATATTAATGTAATACACAAAAGAGACAAATTTTATAACTTGTTAAAACTAGATACTTTGTACATTTTTACATCAAAGCACCCAAAAGTCACTGTCCAGCAGGTGGCGACAACAGCCTTTCATAACGCTTTTAAATGGTTGTAGATTGGTGACCTGATTTCTCACCTGACTGCAGATGAAATAGCAAAAATAATCCCATGCGGACCAGTTGGAGATTTGTTTTAGAGAAAATGGTTTGTATTCTATTTGAGTCATTTTATAGAGGTTCCTTTGGATGTCTAGTGGATCTTTAGAAGTTTTTGTTGATGTATATATTGTGTGTCTGGACATGTATGGTATGCATGTGAGGTGCAGTGCTTGTACAGGGACCCAGGAGCTCGAAGACAACATCAGACCCTTTGTACTTACAGTTACAGGCAGCTGTGGGGTGTCCAACATGGGTGTTTGGAACCAAACTTGGGTCTGCTGGGAGACCGAGAAGCTGTCTTAGCCACAGAGCTGTCTGTCTGTCTAACCGCTATTTTGAAGTTTGAAGGTTATTATAGACAAGTTTAAGCATGGAGAAAATAAAATAAGAAAACCATGAATACGCACTGGCACATCAGCCAGATTTAGCAGCTCTCTACATTCTTCAGGTCTTTATCATCCCTGCCTTCTTCCTCCCCCTCTCAAGACAAATCCCAGGTATCATGCAGCTTAAGTTTAAACAGAAACCAGAGTATAATTGCAACAAGATTTTAGGTTTATTTTTCAAAACCCATTATATTTACGTTCTACTTTAACCATTGAGAGGCCTTAGTATTTCTTTAGTAGTTACAGGGTTTTTTTTTTTTTTCATGCACTAATAGACAGAATAGTCTGTACTTGGAGAACTCTGGGTATAGAAACATAATTGGCCACAAAAAGAAATGTGTAAGTATTAGTGCTTAAATAAGAAGTTTGCATTTCCACTTGATTTTTCTTAGATATAAAGGTAAAATTTATTTTCATAAGGAATAGAAAATATGTTTGAATATCTTTATCTAAACATATGCAAAGGAAGAGTAAATAATTCTTTGGGGACTAGCAGGAAGCTCAGTGGATAGAGGCACATGCTGCACATGCCTGGCAGCACACACACAGAGGTTAACAAATGAAAAATAGATTTTAACAAATAGAAGCACTTCAAATTATGTCAAGTCGATAAAGGAACATAGGAAAAGTTCGAAGAAAGATTTTAGTCCGGTGATAAATCCTAAGGCAACTTATATTGGCTATACTTTCTTTTTCCCTTCTCTCTTGTTGGGTACACAAAGGTTCTTATGTCCACAGATCACTGGGGAAACCAGGAATGTTAATCACTCAGGGGTGGTTCCTCAGAGGATGAAATAGCTGTTTTCTGCCCAGAGGCCAGAATGGATATTGTTATCACTGGTGACTTTTGCTATCTGTGGAGGCAGACCTCAACCCAATTTCCCAGAACATTTATCCCAGACACTCCCTTCCTAGCCTTTTGTTTTTACCTGCCAGTTAATAGAATCCATCTTTAGGGGAGATGTCATGTGGATTTTATAGCCTCCTGACCTGTATGCTATCTTGGTCAGGGACCACACCAGATCCTAGGCCCTTACACTATAGAACCCATCCTCATGGTTACGTGTAGTTTGTAAAGGAGTTTCTATGTGGATCACACCTTACGTTTAATATGCACCTGGAATTGGGATGATTGTTGCCTAGAAACCTTTTCCCAAACTCTAGTGTGGTTAAATATTCCTAC